CTGTGCCTCGGGTCATCTCTTCTATGCAAGCCAGGAAGAGCCTTTCCAAGGGTAGCAGTCAAGGCTATCTTGTTTCCATGGTATCCGATGATGTTGATGAGCGGGTGCCCGAGCGAGTATCTATTGTTTGCGAGTACCTCGACGTCTTTCCTGATGATTTGCCCGGAGGACCGCCAGACCGCCAGGTGGAGTTCACCATTGATCTAATTCCAGGAGCCGACCCCGTTTCTAAGGCCCCTTACCGTATGGCGCCGAAGGAGCTTCAAGAGCTCAAGGCCCAGATCCAGGAGTTGCTCAAGCTCGGTTTCATTCGTCCGAGTGTCTCGCCGTGGGGTGCGCCCGTCCTATTCGTGAAGAAGAAAGACGGATCTATGCGCATGTGTATTGACTACCAGGAGTTGAATGCCCTTACAGTCAAGAACAGGTACCCCCTTCCCCGTATTGAGGACCTTTTCGACCAGCTGAGAGGAGCTAGCGTCTTCTCAAAGATTGACTTGCGTTCTGGCTATCATCAACTGAAGATCCGAGAGTCGGATATTTCTAAGACTGCTTTCCGTACTCGCTATGGCCACTATGAGTTCGTAGTCATGCCTTTCGGACTCAGCAATGCCTCGACCGTCTTCATGGACCTTATGAATAGGGTCTTTCATCCTTTCCTAGACCAGTTCGTCATTGTGTTCATCGACGACATTTTGTTCTATTCCCGTGATATCGATCAACACAAGGAGCATCTGAGGATTGTGCTAGAGACTCTTCGCCGCGAGAAGTTGTATGCTAAGTTCTCGAAGTGCGAATTCTGGCTGAACCGCGTGGCATTCTTTGGCCACATTGTGACAGCTCGAGGCATTGAGGTGGATCCCAGCAAGATCGAGGCAGTGAGTAAGTGGGATACGCCGAGAAGCACAACGGATGTTCGTAGTTTCCTGGGGTTAGCAGGATACTACAGGAGATTTATCGAGGGCTTCTCGAAGATAGCCCAGCCGCTGACCAACCTTACGAAGAAGGCCGTGAGGTTTGATTGGAGTCCTCAGTGCGAGAAGAGTTTCCAGGTGTTGAAGAGGAGACTCACTACCGCGCCTATCCTATCTATACCCGACCCTACTTTGGAGTTCACCATATATAGTGATGCTTCGAAGATGGGTTTGGGATGTGTTCTTATGCAGCAGGGGAAAGTCGTGGCCTGTGCTTCGAGGCAGCTAAAGCCTCACGAGCAGAACTACCCCACTCACGATCTCGAGTTAGCTGCAGTTGTCCACGCCTTGAAGATTTGGCGGCACTATCTCTATGGAGGCAAGTGTGAGATCTTTACCGACCACAAGAGCCTGAAGTACATATTCAGTCAGAAGGAGCTGAACATGAGGCAGCGTAGATGGTTAGAGCTGGTCAAGGACTACGACTGCACCATTAGCTATCACCCTGGGAAAGCTAATGTGGTAGCCGATGCCCTTAGTCGGTGGAGTTATAGCCAGCTGTCTTGCTTGTTCACCAGGTAGGATGTTCTTCTTCGGGAGTTCGAGCGATTACAGTTGGAGGCAGTGGAGTCAACTTCGATAGCCGGGGGCGTATTGGCCTCTTTGGTTGTGGGACCGACTCTTCGAGAGAGGATAGTCGCCGAGCAACCGAATGACCGATTCTTGTGCCGTATGAGAGAGTTGTCAGCAGCTGGTAGAATTGGTGGTTTCGCAGTCGCATCTGATGGAGCCTTGGTCTTCGAGGGTAGGCTTTGTGTTCCGAGGGTGTGGGAACTGCGGAGAGAGATTTTGAGAGAGGGCCATAGTGCCCCGTACACCATCCATCCTGGTAGCACGAAGATGTATCAGGACCTGAGGAAATCTTTCTGGTGGCGAGGCATGAAGAGGCAGGTAGCGAAGTTCGTGGATGGGTGCCTGGTGTGTCAGCAAGTGAAGGCTGAGCGCCAGAAACCGAGAGGGTTATTGCAGCCCCTCGAGGTTCCCATGTGGAAGTGGGAGTGCATCACCATGGATTTCCTAGTAGGATTGCCGAGATCGAAGAGCGGGTATGATTCTATTTGGGTGATAGTGGATCGCCTTACGAAGTCTGCCCATTTTCTGCCAGTCCGGACGACCATGAAGGCTAGTGATTACGCCGAATTGTTCGTCAAGGACATTGTTAAGCTTCATGGAGTGCCCGTGGAGATTGTTTCGGATCGAGATGCCAAGTTCACATCCCAGTTCTGGAGGACGTTGCACCGAGCCATGGGGACGAGGTTGGAGTTTAGTACAGCCTTTCACCCCCAGACGGATGGTCAGTCGGAGCGTGTGATCCAGTACTTGGAGGATATTTTGAGGGCTGTGGTCTTGGACCGAAGCCTGACTTGGGAGTATGCCCTTCCGCTAGTCGAGCTGACCTACAACAACAGCTACCACTCTTCGATCAAGATGGTCCCGTACGAGGCTTTGTACGGACGTAAGGTTCGGACCCCTCTGTATTGGGATGAGGTTGGAGAGAGGAGGATTACGGGTCTGAATTTTGTTCAGAGTACTGCTGCGACCGTTGAGGAGATCCGGAAGACCATCAGGTCCGCCCAGGAGAGGCAGAAGGTCTATGCCGACCGAGAGAGGCATGAGCATGAGTATGCGGTAGGAGATCATGTCCTTCTGAAGGTTTCACCCATGCGAGGTGTGATTCGCTTCGGGAAGAAAGGGAAGCTTAAACCTCGCTATATTGGGCCGTTCGAGATCCTCGACCGAGTCGGGAACTTAGCGTATCGGCTGGCTTTACCACCAGACTTGTCGGGTGTGCACGACGTATTCCACGTCAAGATAATCCTGATCATGTGGTGGACTTCGGCGAACTGCAGGTCGAGCGAGACCTTACCTATGAGGAGGTGCCGGTAGCTATTCTGGATCGGAAGGTCCATCAGCTGAGGAACCGGGCAGTGAGCTTGGTGAAGGTGCTGTGGAGCCGACACGATGAGACTGAGTCGACTTGGGAAAAGGAGGCCGAGCTTCGGAGGCGATATCCGAACTTTGAGTTTTGAGTTCCCGTTGTATTTTTTTTATATATTGCTTTCTAGTTATTTTCGAATTCCGAGGACGAAATTCTTTGTAAGGTGGATAGACTGTAATACCCCATTCGGTTGTGGATTTTTGGAG